TTAAAAAAGAAGGAACTATTCAATTCAGTTGCTGCTTCTGCTGATAAAATTGTGTTGCACATAAAAATTGCTCCGATTCATATTCATACTACATGCAGGAAGAAGAGAGTAGAGGAGGGAGAGAAATCAAGTAAAGTAGCAAACTGAAGAGTTTTTCATTACATTGCTTTCTTGCTTCTACACAACACAAGGAGGAAAATCAAAATCATAAGAATCAAACTACTTCATCCAATGCAAAGAGGAATTCTATTCAAAATGGTTTACACAAAAAAATGGTGCTGCTAACAAATGGTTTACACTATTCATAATCATACTACATGCAGAGAAGAACAGAGAAGAGGAGGGAGAGAGAAATCAAGTAAAGTAGCAAACTGAAGAGGCTTTCATTACAATGCTTTCTTCCTTCTACACAACACAAGCAGGAAAATCAAAATCATAATAATCAAACTACTTCATGCAATACAAGGAGGAATTCTATTCAAAATGGTTTACACTATTCATAATCATACTACATGCGGAGAAGAACAGAGCAGAGGAGGGGGGGAGAAATCAAGTAAAGTAGCAAACTGAGAATCTTTCATTACAATGCTTTCGTCCTTCTACACAACACAAGCAGGAAAATCAAAATCATAATAATCAAACTACTTCAGGTAATACAAGGAGGAATTCTATTCAAAATGGTTTACACTAAAAAATGGTGCTGCTGCAATTCCATACTACATACACAGAATTTGGGAGTAAGTTTCTGTTACTTCATCAGACTGTTGTAACATAGCATGATGACCTTATTGTTATGATAAATCTATTTGTGAATAATTTTCATTGGTGAAATTTCTGAAGCTCCTATTCGCTAAAGTATTAAAATCATTTATCTGAGTCTATTGTTTGTTGGTGAAACTTTCTCAATGCGTAGATAAGCACAGACAGCTAGTTTATGGTATGAAAGCTACTGATGATGGTCATCTTAGTTAGGCATTCCTTGATTTAATTTTATGTTTTCTCTTCTATTGTGTAGTTCACACTTGTGTTCGTTTAGAAATGTGGCTTTGATAGGTGTGGCCTGAGAGGCTGAAACTAGTGTAGCTTTTGTTTGAGCACTCCCCATTTTAGTTTCCTGCGTTCTTTTATATGGTGCGGGTACAAATGTGCTCAACCAATCTACTAGATGTGAGCAAATATTAAGAGCATCCTCTTTGCCCTTAGCATTGCAAAGCACAAGCATGAACTTGAAAGATGTTCGGGGAACATCATAAAGAATCATAGCTCAGTGATCTTGGATACTTCCTACTCACGAGCTCGCCATTCATGTGCCTCTATATGTGACATTTACACATGACTAAAATGCTGACAAATTCAAGAGCTGCAGTCTAAAAGAAGTGTTTCCTTTATTTTGGAAAAGATTAAAATCTACATTTCCAGAACCCTAAGCTCGCAGGTTGAGAGTCCTACTAAGGATCTGTTATATACAGTGTGAAAGGGAAAATAAATCCCTTCAATTAAACTAGCTTACAACATAGATCACAATGTTGAATGCTTACATAGGGGATGGTGAGGATTCCAAGTGAAATTTGGGCAATAAATGGGAGTGTAGACCTACGTTACACTTGTGAGCACATCTGTCCTGCATATGTGTTCTCTTGTATTTTTTTTGTTATGTTTATGCTCAGCACATTTAAGGATGTAAGGGCAGATTTTTAGGAGATACAAATGTTGTACAAATTACAAATCTGCCCAAGGACATTTTACAATGTACAGTTTACACTAATGTCCTCAAGTATGCTGGACATAACACAAGGATGAAACAGTACAAATGAATGCTGTAAAGATTGAAGAGATAAGAGAGAAAAAAGTATCTGAGCCCACAATTGGGTAAAATTTAGATATCTTTCATCCTATTTCAATCATGGGCAATGTGCCCTAAATATACACATGCATCCTTATAAGAGTTTTAATATAGGCCAACTATCATGTAAGTTACAACTATCATATATATAGGTTACAGCAGGAAAATCATCTAGATATTTAGTACAGATTAGGGTTTTCAAAAGTTCAGGGGTTCTTGGTCAGTGTGCCTTCTCACCATAGGGGATTTTCCTAATGGGCATGAGGCAATAGTTAGTGCTGCAAGTTTCCCGAATGGGTGTGAGGCCCATAATATTTGCTACACTCCCTTGAAGCTGGAGCATATATATCGTAGATGCCCAGCTTGCCCAAAGTTTTTTTTTGTTGAACTTGATTGGACAGTTTGGTAAGTATGTCTGCTAATTGATTCTTGAAGTGAAATAATGGAATACTTATCTTCTTTGAAGCAACCTTTTCTCTTACGAAGTGATAGTATATCTCAATATGCTTGGTTCTTTAGTGAAATGCAGGCTTGAGGCAATAGAAATTGCTGCTTGATTATTGCATTGTAAAGGAATAGGTGCTGATGCATCGACACCCATCTCTTGAAGAAGAAAACAAAGCCAAATAATTTTGCATGTACCTTTCAATTGCTCGATATTCAGCTTATGCTAAAGATGATCTATAAAACTCCTCTTCTTACTCTTCTAGATGACTAAATTACCACCACTATCTTTAAGTAGCCACTGGTAGATCGTTGATCAAGAGAGCACCCAGCCCAGTCTATATCACAAAAACCTTGTATATCAAGGTGAAATGACTGACATAGAGCAGTCCTCTCCCTGATTTTAAATATTGTAACATTCGATAAACAACCTCCAAGTGATGGAAGCATGGTGATTGCATAAACTGTCTCACCACTCTTATAGCGTATACAACATCTGCCTGTTGGACAGTCAAATAGATAAGCCTGCCTAATCTCTAATGTACAGCAAGGTTATTTAGATGCTCTGATTGCTTCTCATACAGTTTGTGATGAACCTCTATGGGATATTTGCTGGTTTAGCTCCGAGCATTCCTGTGTCATACAGTTTGTGATTAACCATGTGTACTACTAGTATTATGGTAGAACAAGAATCACTTTTAACATCCAAGGTGATAAAAAACACTTCTTTGAAATCTGAATAGGCATATTAATGTACTAAATCATAGTCGTTGGAAATGATTCTGAATCTGAAT